GAGCGGAATGAAAACGATGAGTTTTAATCAGGCGACATTTATTTATCCTGTCCAACTGTACTATTTTCAGTATCCATGCAATTTTGCCGGTTTGGGGATAAATTGCCAACTAGACTTTTCAAACCGTAACAGTTGTGCAAAATATGTATCCACAAAACAGAATTTCAGGATGTCAAACAGCTTTGCGTGACAATCGAGCTTAAGCTCAACTGATCCAATGTAAGCCTACCTCGGTTACATTGAAGTCCCACGTAGTTTTCTGGACAGAGACACTGTGCTCTGTTGTCGAGGATGAGGCAACCGGCGCCGTTTCGACAAACATGACGATTGCAGGTGTCAGCGATGATTGGAGTGACTGAATAGGCATATAAAAGTAACGTTAAAAAGAGGAGCACTTTGAATCAGGTTATGGGCTTTAAGAGTGAACATATTTTGGCAATTGCCTCTCGATGCCTGAGGTTAACAGGAAAACAATGCTAACATGATAAAAAAAATTGGCTTTGTAAAAAAATCGTTTAGGCTTGAGCCCAGCTATTAAAAAAATCGATCGAACGATCAGCCAAATAGGCAGATATCACATTTTGAACAAACATCTTCTGGTAGGCGGTCTTTGATTTTATTATAATGTTGGAAGATAAAGATTCCGTCAGTGAGTTTAGAAGGCCTGAAAGCGAGGATTTAGTTCAGTGGGCCAGAAACAAAGCCGTGTTAATTTTAATTTGTACTAATAGTTTGGCAGGGCGACTTTAAGCAAGATAATCCTCGAGGGACATTGTCTTTGAAGAAAAGGGGTAAAGCGTAACAACAGCTATGACAAATAGTAGCCGTGTAATGTCTGAGGAAATTAGTGTACGAACTTGCAGTAAATCCTTCAAACCAGATATTTTCAGGCACAATTAATAAGTATGTAGTGTGTACTACTGAATATCTGTTGGCAGCAGTAACTGATGGATTCCAGCTCAAATATGTTTATCAGGTTTCAGATCGAGCCTAAAAAGTGTTTTAATGTTGGCCAAAAGGCAAGATATCACCCTCTTATCACGCTTTTTGTGAGTCCCAAGGGAGAACATAGCAAGAAGAGTGCAAAAGTAGAGGTCTTTTAGCGCACTTAATACATACAATTCACTTAAGGTAAGCAGACGCGTGTACGGCCATGTCCACTGGACCAATCAAATACTGTCCTCGAGCGAATAGCGAATCGATTGGCCTGTGACTCAGGCGGCTGGCTTGTCAGAGTTCTAGCCTTGCCGCAACTTCAAATGCTAAATTATTGACTGATTGATTGATTGATTACCAGTTTACGTGCGCTGCGTGTTGGCGGATCGATAGCCTGACGTGAGCGTGACTCAATGCCTGCCTGCTGGCTGCCTGTTCGCGGGTCTTTTTCGAGGAAATTGCGGAAATTTCGCGCACTTCTTTCTTCGGAAGGTAGACAAGACGCAATGGAAACTGGAATTCAGATAGCAGAAACCCTGGGGAACCTACCGATGAGCCGAGCTCCTCGCAGCTGCATCAGAAAGCGACATAACATCGGTAAAACACACGTGTCTAGCTAGCGCCTG